TATAAGCGGCCGACACCCCTCGTCTCTAAGCACCAGAAAACCAACCAGGTGCTCTCCTCTGTTCCTGATTCAAGGCCGAGCGTAGCTTTCCGAAAAGCCTTCCTGAGCAAAGCTAGTCCGGCGAACCGAGGATGCAGATTTTAGTGGAGACTCTCGCCGGCAAGACGATCTCCCTCAAGGTCGATCCATCAGATACCATCTACACCGTCAAGGCGAAGATCAAGGACAAGCAGCGCCTTACCTTCAAGGGGGAGCAGCTGGACGACGGCCGCACGCTGGCCGACTACGGCGTCCGTGACGGATCCACTCTTGGCCTCCACCTCCATCCTGCGTTTTGATTTTCAGATTGGATTTTTTTTCGCCCCTGAACGAAACAGCCGAATTTCGGTCAATTCAAAAATTTCGGCAAAATCTCGGACGAAATTGCATAAACAAAATTTAAATTTTTGAATAAAATTTGACCGAAATCTGGCCGAAATTCGGCCGAAATTTTGCAATCAGCAGAGGAAAGGTATAGCAGATCGAGCTCAAGGGATTAAAAACTGAATCAGTCCAAGAATAAACATTGGAGAAGCAAACGAAGAAGGAAGTGCCCTGATGCTACCTATGCATCAGTCCAACATATAAAAACAATCCTCACTGCCGCAGACATCATGCACCATGCCGTGGCCTTGAAGAAGCAACAGAGAAGAAACTAGGTGGTGATGGAGGAGGCGTGAGGTGGCCCTGATGGAGGCTGTGCGTCCACGCGCTCAGACGCAAGCAAGCGGGCGGGAGGTACCAGTCAACGAGGCGGCTTGATGCAGCGGAGGAGTGCGGATTCTTCACCGGAGGAGCTCCCGACTGGCATGGGAAGGCAGCAGCAGGCGGGCAGCGGCGGCGCCGCACAGGGAAAGACAGAGGAAACGAGAAGTTTAGGGTTCGGGCGTTCAGTTTGATGGCGTTTTCTTAGCCGGACCATAGTGGAGGCCTTCTAGATGTTGGGCTGGGCCATAACTTTCAAAACAGGCCGAAATTTTTGAAGCGAAAGGGACATATTCCGGGCCCAGCCGAGATGGCCGAAATTCGGCCGAAATTGATTTTTTTCGGCCGAAAATCAAAATTGTGCCTCCATCCGCTCCATGAGAAGATGGAGATCCATGTGGTCGAGACACTGACTGGTAGGGCCATGAACCTCGCGGTCACGAGCTCAGACACCGTCGACAATGTCAAGGCCAAGATTCACAAGTGGCACGGCTTTCCCAAGGACCAGCAGTGCCTCATCTTCGCCAACAGACAGCTCGACGACGACGAAGAAAAAGAAAGGACCCTGGCGGACCTCAACATCCGCAACGACGCTACCCTCCTCCTCGTCCTACACAGCCGGTGTCCCAGAGGGATGATGAGGATCTACGTGAAGACGCTACGGCAAAATTTCTATAATCTTGAGGTGAGGAGCACAGATACCGTCTATAATGTCAAGGAGAAGATCTGGGCTGCGGAAGGCATCCCCCCAGGCCAACAGAGCCTCATATTTGACGGCAAGTCAATGAAGGATGACCGTACCTTGGCACACTATAATATCCAGATGTATGAAGTTCTCTATTTTGTGCTCAACCTACGTGGTTGAATATGTACTGTTGGTGGTCTTTATACAATATAGGCATGTGTGATTTGAATATTTAATCATTCTTGTAGATTATCTTTTCGTGTATTAGATGCCACTTAGTAACTAAAATTATTGAGAAGACGGGAGCATTGCTCGTTATTGTGTTGTGGGAGTACTTGCTAAAGCACTCCTTGGAAGTTCTCAATATATAGTAATTTACATTGTTGGGTTAATGACTTTTAATATCTTTTTGTATGATGGTTATGATGAATTGACCTACTCTTCGGTGTCAGAATAGTCCAATGCCACCGTCGATCCATCGAGGACAAACAATCACATGGCATGAGCAAACAACATCAAAATTTGTTAACAAGGTTCATCAACATGGCTACATCCCGAGACATTGACTACAGATGCACCTCCCCGAATACCAAATCATACTCCCTCCGTCCTAAATTTTTTTTCTCAACTTTGTACTAACTTTAATACAAAGCTATACTAAAATTGAGACAATTATTTTAGGACTAAAGGAGTATGATACAACGATGATAAGCCTCCAAGGCTGCACCAGTGTTGCACCATCTTCCTGGGGAAGGCTGCTGAACACCGCGTGACGAGATGTGAACACCGTGTGACGCCGTTCCGGCTTGCCGCCCGAAGGCCAGGGTCCAACTATTTAAGCCAGGCAGCATACCCCAGCCCTAGCCACATCCGCCTCCTTTCTCTCCGTGCCGTCAGCCCGTGCCCATCCACTTCTCTCCTTCTCCGCCTCTCTCTTCTCTCACGGCCGCTGTCATGGCCTGACAAAAAAAGACCACCTACGCTATGGACTTATTCCACATCACTGATCTGCACATCTCGTCACTGATGTGGCCTTAACGTTGGGAATACAATAACAGTGCACTCATAGGACCGGTCACACGATCGATGCACCTCACCGGGCCGGGGAACCTCCGTGTCGTTGTGCCATAATGGCAGAATAGAACGAAAGCAACACGAGGAAGTTAAGCCGGCATCGCGTGGCATGCAATGTAACACGAGGATGAAGGTCCATGCATTGCATGGCACGTTGCCACAGTCCTGCATGCCGTGCCGACGCTATGCTCGTCAATGGCTTGGGCGCGATTGACGCATGGATCTGGCCTTCCTGCCAAATTAACATAGAGAGGTCTAGTCAAACCATCTGACTGGTGGACAGAGACAGCACATAAAGAGTGAGAGTATAAATCTGTAGTATGAACACTAGCCTTGCTGCCGTGTACGTGTGGGTAGTGGTTGCTGTCTTGCGGACACTAGAGACGGAACGGAGGGACCCTCCTTCAATTCCTCGTTAAGTAATTGCTGGTGTGTGTGGTCTGATGGGCACTTCGGCGGCTGCCAACCGATGAAGCGAACGTGCGTTTTCGAGTCTTGGAGTTTGGCATCTGCAATGTGACACGTCCAACTGACATTGACGCCGACACCGGATTAAGTACACGTTTCAACAAGTGATAATTCCATGATAATCATGTAATGTAATTTCATGCATAAATACATGTATAATTTCATAATAAGGTATTTTGAATATTAGTAATTTCTAGTCATTTGAATATAGTTGCAAGACACATAATTCCAAAACTTTCTCTAGGTCATAACCCGCTCCTCCTAAGCTTCGACTGCGCCGCCCTTTTTGATTTCCCTCTGCGCCGCATGGAACGTCCAGCTGGGCTGCATCACCTCCACATGTGCAGCGTTGGAGGTCTAGCGGCACTGCCCCAAGTTCAACTGGCGGATGGGCCCCAAGAGATTCAGTATTTGGCCAGTAGCATAGAAAAATCTATTTGTTCATTCGCAAACTCCACATTGAGAGGCATTATAGACATTTTACAACATTTAAGGTTCCTGCAGATGTCTAGTAGTGCAGCAAACAAATAGCCAGCTTTTGATTTTTCAGAATCCACAGCCACAACTGATTTTTCAGGAATCCACAGGTAAAGTGATTCTTGGGAATCCGTAGCCCAACCAAAGAGGGCCTAACTGGCTGAGCGAGAACAGAAACAAGTGGCTAAACAAGCTGCTTCTGAATCCCAACTCTCGGTTTGAGCAATGGCAACCAGAGGGGCCCCAGCTTGGATCTCCAAAACAAAGAACATGAAGGTGCAATGCGATGCGTCCGTCCTACAGAGCACTTGGCCCCCGAGCAGGTATCGTCACCTCCGCTGAATGCGATGCGCACAACTGCACAAGATCAATCTATCGTGTCAAAATGCAATGCTTTGTGATCGTTTTTTTTTTTTTTGCAACTTTGCAAAAGCTGGCTCAGCAGGCTACAATGTGGTTTCATTCTGGTTAATGAAACCGGGGATCACTCCATGTTTTTCTAAAAAAAAACAATGATATACGTCACTCCGGAGCTTAGCATTAAACATGTTTATCACCTTCCATTAATTAATATCAAGCTTAATATCAATGTCGCCACTAACTAAGTGAAAGTCTTATTTTGATCCCAAACTCAAATGCACCCTGATGAACAGCAAAATTGAAATAATAGTAAAATAATTCAAAAAATCTTCATATTTTTTTGGTAAACTTTGACAAATGTTTTGTGCGCTTCACAAATTTCAGCATGAAATGAAATTCATGGAAGTTGTGGCAGAAAAACAAAACCAGCACCCCAAAATATTTTCAAAACTAGCATTTTGGAGCATCAATTTTTTTTTGCCACGACTTCCACGAATGCATTTCATGTTGACATTTTGCAAGCATACAAAAAGTTTACCAAATTTTCAAAACTAGCATTTTTTAGCATCAATTTTTTTTGCCACGACTTTCACGAATGCATTTCATGTTGACATTTTGCAAGCATACAAAAAGTTTGTCAAATTTTATCATAATTTGTTTGAATTTAAAGTTTTTCACTATTTTTTCTATTTTTCTGCTCATTAGGGAGCATTTGAGCTCAGAAGAAGATACTCCACATCCCTAACTAACTAATTATATCCTACATAATATTATATCCTACATAATATTAGCACACAATCTATATCGTACCTGATATTAATTGCAATACAATTAGGACTCCACTACAAATCATACATGAGATTCTTTTACCATCGTAAATCAAACGGTTTCATGGCAAAATATGTTCTTCGAGGATGACAAGTTTAGTTGTCTAGCATGGCAAACTCCGTCACGGTTCTTCGTCTTTTTTTTGTCAAAAAAACTGGCGTGCTTGCAAACTAAATTTGTTATCATCGCGTAAACAAAAGTGTAAACAAATTTGCCATAGTGCTTCCATACAATTCATATCTTGACTAATATTAACAGCGTAAACAAAGTGTCACTTCAACTGGATTTAGTTTTTTATATCCTTTATTTATTGTTTGAACATAGAGCCCTGGTACGCACAGCATGCAACAAACGATGTGGATCACTAGGCGGCCTTGGTGAAATTGAAGTTGCTGCAGGAGAAGCCCATGCCCGGGAGGTTCTGGGTGAAGCTGAGCGTCTTCTTGCTGTTGTCCAGCACCACCAGCTTGTTCTCCATCTGGAACCCTCCGATCACAACCGCCGGCGTCGCGCTCCCCGTGCTGCCTCCCGACCGGACGAACGCGAAGCACGCCGTGCCGCTATTCACCTGCGCCATGGAGTTGCCGCCCACCACCGTCCAGTTCGTCCCGCCCTCCAGCATCACGTCCATGTTCGGCACCAGGTACCCGAACCGCGTCGGCGCCAGCTTCGACGAGTCGTAGCACAGCTCGAATGGCGCCACCGCCGCCACCTTGGCGCTGGCACCCATGGCGCGGTCGAAGGCCGCGATGACGGGGCGGTACACGTCGCTCCGGAGCTGCGCGTAGGGGATCGTGGTGGAGAGGCCGACCACGAGCGCGCCGGAGCCGGACACGGCCACGCGCGTACCGTCTATGGCGATGCCGTTGGTGGCTGAGACGAAGTAACCAGGGTTCCCGGCGAAGGGCTGGCGGAGTGGGATGCCGTCGGAGAGGAGCGTCGTGATGGACGGCCGGTCAGCCGGGGGCGCGAGGAAGAACGGACCGCCGCCGAAGATGGCCGCGCCCACGCCGTTGCCGCTGAACCCGGTCCTGCCGTCGCTCGGGAGGCAGAGCGCGAACGAGTTGGCCACCTTCTGCGTACTGGCAACCTGCGCCGGGAACGAGGCGCTGGAGCGCGCGAGCCCCGCCACGCCGACGGCGCCGGACGGGGCCGCCGCGCAGGTGGCGGTGGCGGCGAAGGAGACTGGGGACAGAGTGTTGCTGCCGTTGGTGGAGTTGGCGGAGAGCGTGACGGTCGTCGTCTGCCCGCTGCACGGCGTCGTGATGGCCGGGGCGGAGAGGTCGAGGACCAGCGGCCGGCCGGCGCTGAGAGGCGCGGTGTAGAGCGCCGTGGACGCGCCCTTGGTGATCTTCGTGAGCAGCGGCTTGCCGCTGGTCGCCACTGTGGAGACGGCGAGCAGGAGGAGCATCAGGACTGGCTTGGACTGCCACATTTTGGCCGGTGATGTCGCCTTGGGCGCAGCTCAAGCTCGGGAGGATGGATGCTGTGATGGAAGGCATAGGTGCGTCCTATATATACCCTCGATCTCGAGAATAATCAGTTTGGCCAATGCATGTCTGGTCAACGTTTGGGGCGATCAGAGTTGCTTGGCGTATCAGAATTGCATTTTTCTACATTATCGATCACAATCATCACAGTCACAGATGATTCTCCTCTAATCCAAGATTTTGCATGCGCGCACTAATTGGTAGCATGCGTTTTTTCCTGTGTTTACATATGTGTTCTTATTCGGGTCAAATTCTTCTAGTATGATTCAGCTATAGCATTGCAAAGTGCAAACTTCCCGCCTTCCTGAGTTCGGCCGATGTGGAGATCAGATCGAGGCATGCGTGTTCGGGTGAGGAATGTTGCCATGTTGCTTGAGGAATGAGGACTCTGAATTTTCTCTCCTTTGTCTATGTTATCCGGCCATGATTCGTGTTTAAAGTCGCATTCAAAGTCTAAGCTCCATGCACAGTGTCATGACATGCCTAACAATCTTGCGTGTGCGTGCACTATAACTACGAATATGTTCCATCACATGACATGCACAAGTCGTTAAGATAGGATGCACCCGATACGATATGTATCACTCGATGTCGGTGTGGGTGTGAGTGTACGTGCCACGTCCCATTACATTGCAGTGTACATGTGGCGAGCGGCCGCTGCCGCTGGTTACCTGCGGAGCCTAACAAGGACGAGCCGCTCCTTGCATGGATGTACCGCCGGTCGCTTACGACCGTGGAGATAGACGCTCGGCGGCTCCGCCGAAAGTATGCGAAGGCTCTCAAGGGTATCTATCGAGCAGTCCGAGCGCAAGGCTAAGGAGAAGATGACAGAGGCGGCTCAGCTCAAGCGGTAACAAGACCATGCCATCCGGCGCCTCAAGGGCCTCATCATCGTCTCCTCCTCGCTCAGCTCAAGCGATAACAGGACCAGGCCGTCCGGCGCTTCAAGGGCCTCATCATCGTTTCCTCCGACGACGACAACGACTCCTTGTCCGACGACTTGGACGGTCCTCCACCAGCCGCCAACGGCTACTTCATATATCCCCTAAATTCTTGGTGTGTGTCAAGATAATATAACAAAAATAAACGACCTGAATTATAGGCTAGTCAAGATAATATAACAAAAATAAACGACCTGAATGTTAAATGATCAACTATCTTGGAAATCTTGGTGTGTGTCAATTTGATTAACTAACCTACTTCACATATCCCCTAAAAAAAGTTGATTGATGAATTGATGCATATGCGCACAATATACTGACTAATATAATTATTCAGCAGCACACAATATAGTCTAAATTTAATGGATTCAATTTGAGCGCACCTGTTAGACATATCGGTGATGCCCTCACCTTTGGTCTTGGCCACCCGCTGCTTCAACTTGTGTGTTTTGATTTGCCGCAACTTTCGGAGCGACCGGCGGCTAGTTCTTGATACAAGAAGGGCTATGAACTGAGCTGTGTCTCCGGGCAGGAAATGAAGCAATCACTAAAGCAAAAAAACAAAGGAAACGAAGCAATCAAAAATGAGACAACACCACTAGCCTAGGTCTCCCTGCGGCGGCGGCGCAGATCTGTCAGTTCGTCTCGGGAAACATGGTAGATTGATCGATGGATCGGTAAGCTGTGTAGATTGAGACTAGGGCTCGGTTCAGGACATATTGAAGCAGGCCCGGCCCAGTCTGAGGGAGCCTGCGACTAGCTGCGAAAAAAGGGCCCAAAACAAATAATATACAGACATTGGCCGAAAACAGGGGGGCCCTTAAATTTGGGGCCCTGTGCGGTCGCACAACCCGCACATGCCCTTGGACGGGCCTGGCTCTAAGTACATGCTATAGTATGATTCAGTTGTAGCATAGCAAACTGTGCCCGCCTTTCAGAGTTGGACCGATGTGGCGATCAGATCGATGCATGCGTGTTCGGGTGTTCAGGGGAAGAGGAGGAGGAGGAGCTGGCTCTGATGGAGATGGAGGAGGCGAAGCAGCCAGAGCAGCAGCTGCCGGGCTTCAACATGGAGCAGGTGGAGACGGAGTTAGCCGGCGCCTAGTCCGACGAGATGGCGGAGCAGCAGGCCATCCTGGATTCCTGGAGTCCATTCAGGATAAGGTCTATATGGAGGCCAACCAGACGTTCCTCCAACAGAAGCAGGCGGCGTTCAACGCGCTCTTCGCCGAACTGGACGTGGAGATAGAGGTGGAGGAGACCGGTGCGGAGTAGTCGGAGGCGCCGAATGAGCCAGAGCTGCAGCTGTCGCCAATGCTGCCGGAGCCAGGCACGGGGATCGTGGACATCTCCGATGGTGAGTAGCTAGGTGATCGACTTACTACGTAGCTTATTTCATTTGCATGTCTTTGTATGGATTTAAGAATCTAATATGAGATGTCTGGATACAACAAGTAAAATTTAAGACGTGTCGGGTCATTTTCCGCGGACGCGCCCAGAAGCGTCGCGAGCATTTGAGGATCATACTAAACATATCCAGCTATAGATGTTCTAAGTATACGTGCTATTGATGATTCAGTTGTAGCATGGCAAACTGTGCCCGACTTCATGAGCTGGACCGATGTGTATTCGGGTGATCACTGTTGTGATGTTGCTTGAGGAATGAAGACTCTGAATGTTCTCCCCCTTTTCCATGTTATTATCCGGCCTTGATTTGCGTGGAAAGTCGCATTCAAAGCCTAAGCTCCATGCACAGTGTCATGCCATAATAATCTTGCGTGTGGGTGCACTATAACTACTACGAATATGTTCAATCACATGACATGCAGCATGGGTTAAGTCGTTAAGATAGGATGCAGGAGGTGGCCCGATATGTATCACTCGATGTCGGTGTCGGTGTCGATGTGAGTTGTACGTGCCACGTCCCATTGCATTGCAGTGTACATGTGGAACTCGAAGACTCGAAAACGTACGTCGGCTTGGCTCCATTCCTACTGAACCACACAGCATGCAATTGTTTTACGAGGCATTGAAGGCTTGGCTCCACGTCCCTGTACATTGCACTATTGCAGTGTACATATGGAACTCGAAGACTCGAAAACGTACGTCGGCTTGGCAGCTGCTGAACCGCACACCATGCAATTGTTGAAGGAGGCATTGAAGGAGGGTCCCTCTGTTTCTGCCTACCCAGCAGGGTTGTGTTCCGGGTAGTGTTCACACAGAGCATACAAGTTTATACTGTATTGTATATTATGCGTGTGTAGTTACACTACACCTGTTCGTGTCCGTCAGTCAGATGGTTTGACTAGATCTCTCCCGGTTTGGCAGGAACGCGAGATCCATGCGTCAATCGCGCCAAGCCATTATGAACGAGCTACAGCGTCGGCACGGCATGCCGGAGCTAGACCGCGACAGTGGCAACGTGCCATGCACGTAGTAGGTTCCTCCACCCTCGCGTTAAATCGCACGGCAGAGCAGTCGCCATCTGAGTCCGATAAGAGCGTGGTCCATGCAAGCCATGGCGGCTCAATTTCCTCGAGAGAGTTGGCCTGTTCTGCTATTATGGCGCGACGACACGGAGGTTCCCTGGCCGGTGCGGTGCGGTGCATCGATCGTGTGATCCAAGCCTGCAACTGGGCGTCTGCAAAAACGATGTTGGTCTCAGCGCACTAAAAATGCTAAAGTGACACGCTATAATTTTTATTGGGCGTCAAATTTTTATGCGGCCGTTGGATATGCTCTTAGTTAGCAAAAGAGAACTAAACACACCAGAACTCGACTAGAAATATCAAGAATGTAAACACACACAAAAATACTCTGAAACGCATGCATGCATGCATGCAAAGTCTAGCTACCAGTTAATGCACGCGTGCAAGATCTTGGATAATCTCGAATGGACTTTGAACGAGCGAGAATCATCTGTGGATGTGATCGATACCGTAGAAAATTGAAACTCTAGTTCGTTAAGCAACATTGATGGCGACAAATGTTGACTAGGCATGCGTTGGTGAATCTGATTCCTGATCGAGGGTATATATAGGACGCACGTACGTGCCATCCTTCACAGCATCGATTCCAACACAACACAGCACGAGCCGAAAATGTGGCAGTCCAAGCCAGTCCTGGTCCTCCTCCTGCTCGCCGTCTCCACGGCGGCGACCGTCGGCAAGCCGCTGCTCACGAAGGTCACCAAGGGCGTAACGTCCACCGCGCTCTACACGGCGCCGCTCAGCGCCGGCCGCCCGCTGGTCCTCGACCTCTCCGCTCCGGCCATCACGACGCCGTGCAGCGGCCAGACGACGACCGTGACAGTCTCCGCCAACTCTACCGACGGCAGCAACCCGATATCCCCGGGCTCCTTCGCTGCCACCGCGACATGCGCGGCGGCCCCGTCCGGCGCCGTCGGCGTGGCGGGGCTCGCACGCTCCAGCGCATCGTTCCCGGCCCAGGTAGCGAGCACGCAGAAGGTGGCCAACTCGTTCGCGCTCTGCCTCCCGAGCAGCGGCGTGGGCGCGGCCATCTTCGGCGGCGGTCCATTTTTCCTAGCTCCCCCGGCGGACCGGCCGGCCATCACGACGCTCCTCTCCGACGGGGTCCCGCTCCGCCAGCCCTTCTCCGGGAACCCCGGCTACTTCGTCTCAGCCACCAACGGCATCGCCATCGACGGGACGCGCGTGGCCGTCTCCGGCTCCGGCGCGCTCATCGTCGGCCTCTCCACCACGATCCCCTACGCGCAACTCCGCAGCGACGTGTACCGCCCCTTCATCACGGCCTTCGACCGCGCCATGGGCTCGAGCGCGAAGGTGGCGGCCGTGGCGCCGTTCGAGCTGTGCTACGACTCGTCCAAGCTGTCGCCGACGCTGTCGGGCTACTCCGTCCCGCAGGTGGACGTGATGCTGGAGGGCGGGACGAACTTCACGGTGGTGGGCGGCAACTCCATGGCGCAGGTGAACAGCGGCACGGCGTGCTTCGCGTTCGTGCAGGCCGGAGGCGGCACTGGGGGC